TTATATTGTTAAGGATAATGGAGAGTGTTTTTAATTGTTTGTAAACTTGTAATTTATAAACATAAAAATTGAATATCAAAAATCTACTATCCAAAATTCAAAAACTTTCAAATATATGAAATTTCAAATATTTGGTTTTGAACGCCTCTACTCTCGCCACTCACAACTCACATGTCACATTGGCGCTAGATACGTTTTTCTCTTTTATTTAATTTCCAATTCTCACAATCTACAACATGTCGAAATACATATCTTCCAATCCACACATTTTTTGTACACGTTATGATGCATATTTTATAAATGGAAGAAGAGAAAAAAGGAATGGGAGTAACATGTTAGTCAGGCCGCTCAACCCACAAAAACTACGGTATATCCGACGGCGGAATGATGGAGCATGTGGTATCACCAGCTTCTCATTTTGTGCCACACCCTCTTTTGATCATTTGAATTTTAAAGTTCTACAACATTCTTGTGGCAAAATAAAAAGGCAAATCAAAATACTTCCTGAAGAAAAAAATTAAATGTTCAATAATCAACCATGAAACATGAACTCGAGATCTTATTTATAGATTATTATATATTTATCGATAGAACAAAATTAGATATAATTATTGTGTTTAACATTTTTCTTGTAGTTTACATATGATAAAATACAATTTTATATATCCCATATGTTTTATCGGTCGACACATATGTTAATAAAAAGACCGTTAGTAATTATATGTCTAAAACAGCTCTTAATAAATACCCAATAAATATGTGATAATTAATCAAACATGAAAATCATTAAACTAATATTGTTTTATTATCTTCCAAAGTAGAACTATTGTAAGAATACCGTATTGTTAATTTCCACTTAATGATTGTTTCAGCCATATAAAATACAATACATTAATTATCCTACAACGATACAAGCCAATCCAGTAAAATTAAAATATATTCTTTATGACGAATAAGTCAATTTCTTAAGTGGAATAATGACCTTACCATTGAAAAAGTCAAGATTAAAAACGAAAGTCTAAGTATAAATAGTAAAAACTGAACTTTTGTAAGGACAATTTACACGTAAATTAAGTGTGGTAATAATATGATACGTTTTTAGGTATATTTTGTGAAAATAAATATTTAATGACATTATAAATTCATAATCATATAAAATATAATAATAGATATTGGTTCATTAACAAATAGATTTATGCTAAATTTCTTTATTCATTAAGTACATCTGTCTTATTGTATGAGGTTTTGTTTTCAATAAATATATTTGGAAATTTAATAAAATAATAATTGAATAGGAATAAGTTGTTTATATTATATACTAAAGAGGAATAATTGACATCACATGCAGTTCACGTACGTACAATATGAGGTACAAGTCCTTATTATTTTACCACGGCTTTTGTACCTTCCACAGTCCACTCATAAGTTTGTTTAACAACGACTCATCAATTATTTCTTTAAGAAGATAAGAGTAAATTACATTTTTGGTCCCTATGGTATACATCTTTCTGTATGTTTGGTTGTATTTTTAGAACTTTGACACCATCAATCCTCATGGTTTGACAAATGCTTTATTTTTTGTCTTTATCCCACTTAACATCTTATACCATTTGGTTATGTATATGAAATGATTCAAACTAGGAAAATGGTCATGCTGTGCTATGGGTGTGTTTGTTTGATATATGTTTGTTAGAGGTGGTTAAGACTTAATAGGTTTTATATTTAACTTTGGTGTGGAAGTTTGAGTACATGTATAGTAACATTAAATTCGTATAGTGTTTAAAATGGTATAAGTTGTGAGTTCTGTGTTTTTGTGCAGATTATCTAGTAGTGAAGGAAAGGTAAAGAATCATTGTTGTTGTGTGTAGCAGTGTGGTTCAATTTGATAACAAAACAGTGAGTATAAAAGTAGCATTTTAAAATTTTTTGGAAGATTGTCAGGAAAGGTTTGTCTTATGTTGCAGCTGATTCGGTTTTATAAACAATATATCATAAGTTTAAGGGTTTTATGCGCAAAATTTATACAAAGTTTAACAAAAACTGGAGTGACTGCTACAAGGTTTTTGTGTCAGGTCATGACTGTGGATGGCGCTTCCGTTTTGACACTTGCAACTTCATCTGTTGGTCAGTAAAAAAGATGTTAGTATGTTGTTTACCTGCATGTTTCATGTGATAGTGTTTACCTGCATCATCATAGGAAAGCATTCTTGTACTTTTTGATGCATAGGTTTTCGAAGATGATTCTGGAAAGTGTGGTGTTGGTGTATTTGGAACTGCTGACTGTTGAAGGGGAGTTTCGTCCTCGATATCAACTGTTGTGAAGCGAATGTTGCCCGCACTTGAGTTTTTGGTCATTTGAAATACCCATTTTTTGTAAACCTTTGCAATCTTGGATGAAGGGTGGTAAGGTTTTTCTATGAGTATGTCTATATTGTTGTATAGCTTTTTCAGATGTTATCGAAGTGAGTTTTTCGACCGTGTTGTCGGATAAATTTGCGGTTATCGAGTCTGTGGTATCTGTCAACGTTGTTGAAAGTTTGTACATGTTTTCATGTAGATGCAATTATTGTAATTTAATTTGTACCATTGTTAGTCATGTTTTGGAGGACAACTTACATGAAGATTAGGGTTGTGACTGTTCCATCTAATGTACAAAACCAGTTGTTACCCTTTTTAAAGCTGCTTGTCTTACATAGGGGGCATAGAACTTGGTACCAGTTGTTTGTAAAACTGATGTTAACTGCAGATGCTTTTACAGTAAAGGTTTTGTCCTATTGTAGGATGTTAATTAGATATTAAAAGTAACATTTTCTTGGGTTCATTTTGAGTATGTAAATGTAAGTTGGTATATCTTACCAATAGTTATGAATATGGTTTTTCGTTTATGTCATGTAACGGTGTTGGAGGGCCTTTACACGCAGAACGCGACGTACAATTTCGCATAAACCTATAATTTTTGTTTTTTTAGTGTATATAGTAAAGTATGTTCCAAAGCAAATGTCTCTGATACCTGTCAAGTAAGGCAGCTGTTTCTGGAATTGATGGGTTGATATACACATGACTTGCACTTGTTGTTCCTACTTTTAGTGCACCTGTAAGTGACATACATAACAGACATCAATACTTTCTACAATAATTTTTGTGAATGTATATGTCTTACAATGTCTTATTTCCTCCATACCTGCAACTGTCATGATCTTTGCATTTGTCACAGCAAGAACTGTTGGAGCAGGTGTGGCCTCAATAAGGTTGCGGTCAAAATTTTCCAGTACATTGGTACATTCTTTCCATAGACCAATAGCAATTTTTTCGTTACTGTTTTTCCTTTGTTGTTAGTGTGTTGGTAATAGGTAATATAAATGTTGAATTAGTTACAACTTATGATTCGGTAGTGAGTATGAGAAGTGTGTAAGGTTCCTTTTTTTTGTCGCGAGTTCTCTGAATTTCACAAACACACCTAAGAAATCTACATCGGGATTACCTGGTACATTAGTAAATAGAAATTGTTTTTTGCGATTTATTATTGTAGTTGTGTATATATTGTTATACCTGGCGCTTGTTTTACATAGTCTGGTATTTGGCTTTTGGATATAAAGTGAAACGAAGTTGTAGGTATTATTCCTGTATCTGGAATTCGGTAGATTGAGGAGGCATTGCCAACACTAATATATATTTCTTTGCCTATCCAATTTTGATATTCGTCTGGTTCGGCACACGCATAATCAGCATAACCAGAGATAGTGTAACAGTTTGAAATAGTCAATATGGATTTTATGTGTCCTTGATCTTTTTTCTGTCCCAGAATCTGAATGCTATCTCCCTGTTTTGATGTATGGTAGTAAAAATAATATTATTATATACAAGAATGTGGAAATTTATAAGAAAGCTTAGATACTTACATGCTTGTCGACTGCTAGGAACCAGGTTTTATATCATCGAATTTGTGGAGTCCATGTGCGTAAAATGCGAACCTGCAATGCTCCTCCTGAACATCCATATTCCAATGTAGAAATAGTTGTAGAATCCTCAGACATGGGTCTATGAGTAGAGTTAAAGAAAGAGTTAGATTGTAATGTGCAAAAGCTAGCAATCCAATAATCAGATAATAGTTTACCATATTATGTAATAATTTGTTATAAAGTAAATGATGTAATGTCATAAATTCGTATGTGTAGTCAGGCTGTTTTGAACATCAGAAATTTCTACTTTGTGTAACAAATCTTTGAAAACAACGTTTTTTGTTAAGTTGTTTGTTGTGTTTGTGTCATTTTTTATGAGAACTTTGATGGAATTGGGAGATGTGGCTCGAGATAGAGCAACATATAGTTGACCATGTGTGAAAACAGGTTGGGACAAGTAAACACCAATTTTTTTTAGTGATTGGCCTTGGCTCTTGTTTATTGTCATGACATAACAAACTTTAATGGGGGTATTGCTTCCGAAATAAGGTGAAAGGTGTGTCAGTATTCTTGTGTATGAATTTTATGCGTGGTATATAGACACGTTTCCCAATGGAAGTTCCTGTGATAATTGTTTCCTCAATTACTGTTGGTAACAACTGTGAGACTATCAAACGTGTACCATTACATAATCCCTCCCTTTGGTTTATGTTTCTTATTAGCATGATTGGTGTGTTTACTTTCAGTACAAGTTTGTGTGGAGGGATTCCTGAAAAGTGTAATTCGTTTAGGTACTCAGGAGGATAGAAGGCTTCTAATTCTGAGGATTGGTTACCATTAGTTTCTAAAGTATCGACACTTTTGTAGATTCTGAAGTTACCCGGAGTCATTTTCAAAATAAGATCATTTATTTCATTTGTTGTGTTGTTTTTTGGACAGATAATGGCTCTGACGGATAGGTCAATAGGAGTGGGGTCCGTTAGAATTCCATCGCCATATACAAAGTTTATTAAATCTTACAAAGAATTTTCTCTTGGAGGTATCAAAAGTGAGTCGGGTATTTGGATCCACTTTGTATCTACCGCATCCACTGTTGAGATTAATCAGGTTTAATTCACAGGTTCAAATGCATGGCTGCTAGTTTAATAATTTTATGGTTTTTTTAGTTAATAGTTTATTTTGGTTTATTTTATTTAAAGGGTGAATAAATAAAAATGGGTAGAGGGGTTTGACTGCTTCATGATGTGTAAGTTGGAGTCAAAGCACGTTGGGTATAAGAAGAAGTCATCATCTTTACATAGTCTTTAGGATTAGAATAGTATTTGATTTTCATTCTGTTTGTTTTCACGTGTATGCATGTAAGCCTATATATAGGCTTTCTTTAATATGAATAAGTAGTGAGATTTCTTCCTGTAACTTTCAAAGTACATCTCTTTTACACTTCAAATTAGAAAGTTTTTATTCTCTTCTGCAAGTTCAATACTTTCATTATACACGAGAGTTTTGAGTGTGATATTTAAGACTTTCTAAACCAACATTTGGTATCAGAGCGGAGATAGATTGAAGAGGGGTTGATTTCAGATTATTAGGTTGTTTTCTTTTCTGTTCTAGGGATCAAAAGGGTAGCGGAGACGAGTCGTGATTCCGGCCAAAATCAGCGGGCTTGTTAACCCAGTTTGATCGAAGAACAACATAGGAGGATCAAGAGCAACCAGAAGGTGTTAATCAAAGGGTGAAAAACAGAAGGTGAAAGGTAGCAAAAGGTGTTTGCAGGTAGCTCTTTCAAGCAGTGGGTTTTTTAGTTGATTATATAACCTTGGTAGTGCAGTAAAACGCAAGAATGGCTCCACCGAAGGATCAAACAGCGGCTGTTGTCAAGGAGAGCAACACCATGACTCTTCAATGTCCGGTATTGTCATCAACAAATTACACAGTATGGGCTATGAGGATGCGGGCTATCTTCAATGTTCATGGGGTGTGGGAGGCAATCGATCCGGGAGTCAATGGGGATGCCAAGAAGAATAACATAGCAATTACACTTTTGTTCCAAGCCATACCCGAGGAGCAGACACTGTTAATAGGGAATCTCACAACCACAAAGGAGATGTGGGAGGTTCCCAAAACTCGTCATTTGGGTGCGGATCGAATCCGGGAGGCGAGACTTCAAACTCTAATGGGAGAGTTTGAAAATCTGAAGATGAAGGACCAAGAGGTGATAGATAACTTTGCTAATAAGTTGTCTGAATATGCTTCTCGAGCGGCCTCACTTGGATCGGTTATGGAAGAAACAAAATTGGTTAAGAAGTTTCTTAATGGGTTACCAAAACGTTTTACTCATATGGTGGCTTCTATAGAACAAGTTGTAGACTTGAAGACCATCGGTTATGATGATGTTGTAGGTCGACTTAAAGCTTATGAAGAAAGGATCAAAGTTGAGGAGATCCAACCCGAGCAAAATCAGCTTTTACTTGTAAATTCTGATGAAAAACCAAAAGAAAAAGAGCATAGGTGTGAGCATTGTGGTTGTGGAAACTCGAATCGGGAAGACTATGGGCGTGGCCGAGGAGGAGGTCGGGGTCCCGGGAAAGGTCGAGGAGAAGGTCGAGTACAACGGGACAAGAGTCACGTGAAATGCTACAAATGTAATGAGTTCGGGCATTACATTTCGGAGTGTCCATTGTGGGAGAAAAAGAATGAGCTCAACTTGAACCGGTGCGAGGATGAGGAACCGGCACTACTGTGAATGATGCACCTGATTAAGGGGGTGATTGTTGAGATTAATCAGGTTTAATTCACAGGTTCAAATGCATGGCTGCTAGTTTAATAAATTTATGGTTTTTTTAGTTAATAGTTTATTTTGGTTTATTTTATTTAAAGGGTGAATAAATAAAAATGGGTAGAGGGGTTTGACTGCTTCATGATGTGTAAGTTGGAGTCAGAGCACGTTGGGTATAAGAAGAAGTCATCATCTTTACCTAGTCTTTAGGATTAGAATAGTATTTGATTTTCATTCTGTTTGTTTTCACGTGTATGCATGTAAGCCTATATATAGGCTTTCTTTAATATGAATAAGTAGTGAGATTTCTTCCTGTAAATTTCAAAGTACATCTCTTTTACACTTCAAATTAGAAAGTTTTTATTCTCTTCTGCAAGTTCAATACTTTCATTATACACGAGAGTTTTAAGTGTGATATTTAAGACTTTCTAAACCAACATCCACTGTATCTGGTTTTCCTAAAAGTCCATCTCCAATAGCAAGCAACTATGATGCAAATGCGGATGTTGAGAGTTCAAATGTAGGATTGTTGTTGTTGTTGTTGTTGTTGTCCGATAACCGCATGTTATGGTTAAGTTTCCAAACCTGAAAACACGTCCATATATGTGAGTTCGGTAAAGTGAGTGCAATGATCTGCGATCTGGTGTTTTTTGGGTATACTGGAAGGGTCTGACGAAAGTCACCTCCTAATAACATGGACATGCCACCAAACGGGTGCGTGTTGCACTCAAAAATGTCTCTCAACGACCGATCGAGACATTCAAAGCAACGTCTATCGCTCATTGGAGCCTCGTCCAATATAATAATAGAAGTCTGTTTCAGTAGGTCTGCGAGTGATGTTCTCTTTTTTATGTCACATGTTGAGATTTCCGAAAGATTGATAGGTAACTTAAATCTAGAATGAGCCGTTTTACCTGAAGGTAACAGTAAGGATGCTATTCCTGAAGCAGCAACTGCAAGAACGATCTTACCAATTGATCTGAAGTAAGAAATTAGGGTCGTCCACAAGAAAGTTTTTCCTGTTCCACCGTGGCCATAAACGAAGAGTAAGGTTTGCTTTTTATTCCTATCTGCGCATACAACTGCATTATAATTGTGTAGCTGTTCTGAATTAAGGACATAATACATTTGTTGATGCTGATTTTGTAGAAGTTCCTTGTCGTAACAGGTATCCTCTAAAAGTAGCCGATTTTCCAAAAGAGCGACTACAACTTCTGATGGTAATGGTAAGTGGAAGTCTGCAACTGACTTTGATGGCGTGCATGATCTAAGTATTTTTTCCAACTCAAATAACAATTGTTGTTGTAAGTGAAAGTCAGTAATGTGCATTGGTATAACAAAAACATTGGCATTTATTTTGTATAGTAAGTCCTCACTCATTTTTCGCCAACCGGTTTCCCACAATGCAAGCGGATTGCTCACCTCACAAAATAAAAGCAAGTGACAAAAGAGGGAGCGCAACTGTGAAGATGTTGCCCATTGTGATGCCTCGGTGAATGCTGTCATCCATTCTTTGTCTTCACCGATTAGACCCAATGCGTGACATGCACTTCGATAATTTGGGTACACACGACCAGAAACAGTGCGAACAGCCTCGTAAGACATACAACCTTTTTGATGACAAAGTAGAAGACGCAGGTAAAACAGTTCACCAGTAGATGGGTGTACGAACACAAGTCTGCCGATGGTTTTTGACATACTACGATGCCTCAACACCCACCATTTTGCAGTTTTATCCCACCAAAATTTAGATGGATAATCTATGTAGGTTAAATCTAAACCTCCAGTTTCATTTTCACTATTACTCTGATTTTCATTATCACGAATGACGGTATCTTTGTTACGATTGAACCAACCAAGAAGCGGTGATATTGCGAACCCGGGATTCCGTACAACATCCTTCAAACAACTATCTTCCTTAAAATATGCAGTTTGCATATTTTCTAAGTGGACTGGAAGTATCATCACCGGTGGGTTACGTTCATGAATCGGGAAGTCAAGAATGCGCCATGCCGCTTCGTGGGGACAGATGTACCGCCCATCTAAGAAGCTTCGAATCTCATCAGTAACAAGAGTTTCTACAGCAATCGGACATTCTTTGTTAGAATCAGTCTTTTGAAGACTAAATAGCTATCACTTTTGGGCATTACATAAAGATATATTTACTTTCCTCTTGATATTGCATGTTTCTATGAGTGTGTGGATAGTCTTAGATTACAAGTATTCATATCTACTTACCGACAACTCCATATAAAATAACAACTTTGTGTTTTTTTAGTTACAATGAGATAGTCATACATTTTTTTATTGGTTTAGTAAAAGTATTAAATTGATGCTTGCAAAACCTTAGAAATTTCTTTTAATTTCCTTAAAACTTAAAAGTTTGTATAACATTCTTTTCCCGCTTTTCACTTTTTAAAGAAATTGTGAACGTGGAATGAAAAATGGAAACGGTATTAGATAAAGGTTAGTAAATGTGTTTATTGTGTAAAATGACCCCTTGAAGATAAACACAATCCTACCATACAAATGAACGTCAACTAAGTTGTGCATTTTGTGGATCTAGTTTTTAGAATGTAGGAAGAAAAATATAATATATAAATGATCTTAAAAAACTATATCTTTTCCGTTGGAAAAAGACGCAAATCTTTATGTCAATAGAATATTTAAAGGGTCTGATTCGATTGTCTTAGAGGGTGCGGTATCTTTTGATATCCTATTTACCATTTTTAAACCTAATTTGGGAAATCTTTACTCTAGTGACTCACTCTCATTTACAAGATACTACTTATTCTTTAGTAAACCTTTATTCTTTCATATAATTTCTTTTTAGGGATATTCTTCATTGATCCTTAACAGTGGTGGATTTAATCAAAATAACCGAGTTCTTTTTTGTGGTTTGGAAAATGGCAATTTTGTTGAAAATGGACCATTCCAAGTTTATCACATTAAACTTATTTTTTCTTAGAAAAAAAAATACATTACAAACTGAAATCCAACACTATTCTGAAAAAAAAAAAAAAAAAAAAAAAAAAAAAAAAACTAATTTATAAGAACAAACCAAAATCCAATGAATAATTTCAAGAAAAAAATGTTTTTTTTTTTAAACAGGTACATTTAGATTAAAGCCACTTGACGGCAACAACAAAAAAAACAATTCCATAATGTAAAATAGGGATCAAATCCAATATACATAATTACAAACACCAAATGACCGTTTTGCTTTATCCAACTAAAAATCGAAGTGATAATGTTATCCACCACTTCCGAAGAGGAAGTTCTCATGTTTTTAAAAATCAAGTCATTCTTAACTTTCCAGACACATCATTCGAAACCATACATGGCAACCAGAAAAAGATGATGTTTATTTGGACATCGCCTCCAATCCGCTGCGAAAGCCTCCGGTACTGTCTGTCACAAAATTTTGAGCCCCATTAACCATTGGAAAATCCACCTCAAAACTTCATTAGCGAAATGACAGCCCACCAGAAAGTGGTTTGACTCATCCACGCAAGTATAACTGAAATAACAATTCATAAAAGAAATAGAAATTCCCTTACGAAAAAGCGCAAGCATCAAAAGGGATCCGATCCAAATAGACAAGCCAAACAAAACCAATAAAAGTTAGTATGAGATAATAATTTGCAAAATAATAAGTTAATCTCAATGGATCTTGTTAGCTCAACAATAAAAGTTAGATAAGTTAGATTGATAAAATGTAAGGAAAATAAATAGCAGCAAGTTTATATCAATAACATTAAACAAGTAGACACTTAGTTGAATGGTAATATAGTTTACATGCAAACACAAGTTAGTATATGATGAACAACATAAGTGAAGAGGGACTCATTTAAAGTATTAATTAAGATACCTTTAGATAGAATAGAGATGAACAATTTTATATTTAATAAGCTCTGAATTGGTAATTGAATATGAAGTGGGAATATCTATTTATAGAGTCCCAAAAGTTACATGATAATAATAAACTAAAACAAAGTAGCTGACTTCGGTGACCTTGAAGGGTACACTAGATAATACTAAGATTACAAGCAAAGTCAAGAAAATCTAACTTGTGACAGTCTTCATGTTTGCAGACGACTCCGGGTCTTCATCTCATCCTCAGTCTTAATAAAGTGACCAATAGTCTTCGGTTCTTCTCTTTTCTCCGGGTAACAAGAGCATTAAGGTCTTCGGCTCCATCTTAGCTGAAGAGGGTTACTTTCTTGTTTCAACATTTTACATGGGTTTGCATGATGGGTGTGTACGTCGGGTGTAACTTCCTGTACACCGCACGTACTGCATCCCATTCCCAATCCTCCCACTTCTGTTGAGTACGTTGTGTGTAGTAGTTGGTATGCCGAGCGTACGGCTCTGTCCAACTTGGAGTGATATTTGGAACTTAATCGTTGGGCTTACTTGTTAGGCTGGACCTTAGACTTTCTTGTTGTTGGGCCACTTATGATGTTGTGCCCATATTGGACCTTAGATGATCCTTGAGGTTAGGCCTAGGATTTTGTTGGGCTTAAAAGATTAATTTGGCCCTTTTTTACCTTGGACATTAAGCAAGTATTGTAGGTTTTTAGTTTTGGTTTATGTCTAAATTATTAGTTGGGACTCTGCTGTTCAGTTAGCACGGGGATTTCTCCAGTCCAGCAGCCCAAGCATTTATCTGGGTTTTTTTAGCAGTTGAGGTGAGTTTCCTCACTAGATCCATGGGTCAAAGGCACCAATGCTGGCACATTTTTTGTTATGTAGAATTTTGGATGCCTTGTGATGATTATATGGAAGACCAGGATCTAACCCCTGACATTTGTATGAAAGACCAGGATCTGACCCCTGGCATTTGTATGCAACACCGAAATTTGGCGCTCGGCACTGAACGGAAAGACTATGGTGTTGTTTGTTTTTTTGAAACAAAAATTCATGAAGTATGCGAACCAACTCTGCAACCCTAGAAAGTAGAAGAGGTGGACCAAACGGCTGCAGACTATAATAAAAAGCGTGTTTTTTTAGGATCCATGTTGTTGCAGATATTAAAAAAAAAACACTGCTTTTATAAATCAAAATAGTTTTTTAATACCGAAATTTTAATAATGTATGAGATTTCAGCAAGAGTTTATGATATTTCAGCAAAAAATAATGACATTTCAACAAAAAAAATAAAGTTTTCTTAACAAAAAAATAATGATATTTCATCAATAAATAATTATTATTCAATATAAAAAACAAAAAAAAAATCAATAAGAATAAACAAAAAAAAAAGTAAAATAAGATTTGAGCAACATACAATCAAGATTTCAGCAAAAAAAAAAAAAAAGAATAAGAGGTTGAAAGAGGCAAGACAAGTGTTGCGCCAAACAGAACACACACAAATGTTTTTTTTTTACTCTAAAGACTTCTAAGAAAACAAACAACTGTGAGATTAAAAGTGTTGTGCGTGTGCTGCATCGTGCATAAATAAAAGGTCTGAAGAGGTTTTTTATAAAAAACAAACAAGACCTATGATTTGGCCCATAGCATTTATCTTCTTTCATGTGTGGTATTTGGTACTTGGGGAACTCACTAAGCGTTATGCTTATAGTTTTGTGTTTATGATTTCAGGTACTTCCAGTTCCAACGGGAAGGGCTCAGCGTGATGGCACAACATCCTCCCCTCATGGTTTCCACATCTGAAATGATTTGTACTCTGATGATTTTATACTATGATTTGTATGGGTACCGAACAATTAATCAATGATTTGAATGACTTTTAAATGAAAAAAAAATTATTACTATTTTGGGACGTTACAGCCTCCCCTTCCAACCATATATATATATATATATATATATATATATATATATATATATATATATATATATATATCCGGTAAGAAATTTTTTTTGGTAGGAAGGTAAGAAATTTTTTTTCTACATATTTTTTTGACGAACAAAATAAATGAATCACTAGATGATTCATTTGTAAGATGATTCACAAGAAAAAATTCCCAAAAAAACATCTTTATGATTCATTTTTAAGTAAATTAAGAAAAAATTCATTTTTATGACAATTTTAGTGAATAACAACAAAATCATTGTATAAATGAATCATCGAGATGTTTTTTTGAGAATTTTTTCTCGTGAATCATCTTAAAAATGAATCATCTAATGATTCATTTTGTTTGTTCGCGAAAAAAATATGTAGAAAAAAAACTTCTTACCTTTCTACCAAAAATTTCCTTCTTATTTGATCTTGACTCTCTCTATATATATATATATATATATATATATATATATTATATATATATATATATATATATATATATATCATGTTTTTCAGCTCATTCCTCCACTCGTTTCATATGAAATCTCTTTGGAACTCTCTCAAACCTTTTAGCCCTTTACTCCCTATTTTCCAACTACTTTAGTGAGGCCTTACGGCATCAAAGAGCCAAAGAATTAGAAGCTTTTGGGTCAGAGTTTTGCCCGCACATTTACCGGTTCTCGTTAGAAAACTCTGTAAGTTAAGCTACACTTGTTCTAATTAAAGTGTAAATTATATTTATAGCCATAGTCATTATTATGAACCTATAAATAAGATTTATCAAATTTCCAACTCAGTATATTGATTGATATACTTATGAGAGTGATGTTTAGGCTGGATTTAGTGAGGTGTTAAAAGTGGTATTTCCAAATAGTATACTATATATACCAAAAAGACCCTACCTCAGATATGATCTTACATGGTTATTCCTTATTTGATAGATCTTGATGTAGACATAAGGATTATTGAGGAATCTAGATTATCAATATTATAGTCACAAGAGATATGAAAATAGACTAAGACTTAGTGCCATTTTAATCTAGGTATTTTGGAAGGATAAAGTATTAAGGCGAAGCGATGCCCTAACCTCAAATCACCTACTTTTGTCAGGTGAGTGTGTAGTTGCTTTCAAGAGCATAATTTAATAAAAGTATTTAATAAATGTTATTTGTATTAATTATACCAGGTGTTAATTGTATAATATAATAAGTATTGGTTATTAAGACCTATGTTAGAATCCGAATGGTCTTTAGTTATTGTCTGGGATAGTTAAAGACTTATAAAGGGATGATTAGTTCCAAACAAGTTTCTATCAAATAGGTATCATTCTAGGGTAGAGTGTGAGATCAGTGCGAAGCATAGTAGTCCTCCTCTTTATGGATGAC